CTGCCTTTTGGGACAGCAATCTTGAACCCTTGCCTGGGGGTTTCAGGCAGCAATGTGTGGGCAGTGACAGGGGAGGTAGCAAGGCCTCCACTGTTGGAATGTGTCTACTGGTAGGGTTCTCACTGATGGAGGAACAGAACAACCACAGTTCAAAGTCTCTTTCTGCCCCCTGAGAACCCCCCAGGAAGTGGGAAAATCGTAAACAGGGTTGGAGGAGAGTGTGTTCCATCGCAGACTGCCAGCCAGTTGTCGTTTGCACCGTCCAGCAGGTGGCGCATGGAGCACCGTGTTCCCTGTTGCATGGCCTCATTACAATGTGCCTTGTTATTCTGACCCAGATGACACCGGTCTGTCGTCCAAAACCACACTGTAATGTCCAGGGGGTACACATCGCCTATTGCTACAGTTCCCAACATGCTTCAGGTCCAATTGGAGTCAAATGGGCTTTGTGAAATGTCTTTGGGACCTACTCATTTTTCATAATGTGGCTTCTGAGCACAAATGGCCACTGAGTTTCAAGGGACTCTCTTGAACAATACCTTCTGGTACATGTGCAGCATAAAATCAGAGACAGCTAAAACTCTCAGTGAATGAAAGGTTTTAACAAGGTCTTCTGTTTTTGTCTAAAAGAAAATTTCTCTGAATAATCGTGGCTCCACGCTTACAGAGAATTTTTGTTTTAGAGGATTTTGCCATAAGACATATGCAATCTCTGGAGAGAGAGAGACAGTGAGAGGGAAAGTGAGAAATCACTTGTCAGAGTGAGAAATCACTTGTCAGAGTGAGACAGAGAGAGAGAAAGTGAGAAATCACTGCCCAGGAAGGGGGAGAGGGCATGGGGAGATGGCCACACCTCAATTTTTTTTTCTCCATTCTTCTCTTAGGATCCTGGGCACACACACATACGTGCATGGCATGATTTTCAAGCTACCAGGTCTTGGACTTGAACGGTGGTCCACCATGTGGGAGTCCAGTGCGTTAATCACCACACCACCTGCTGGCCCCAGGGTTTTCTCTTATTTTTAACAAAAATAATCATCAGTAATACAAAGCCTATTTACTGTTTTTCTTGGATAGATTTAATAATGACTGCCAACTCTCTAAAGCTAAAGCATACTAAAGTAGTGAATTAAATAGGAGGAAATGGGACACTTCAGACAAATCCTCCTAAGAACAAAAAGGACAGCCATTAGCCTAAGAACAAGGAAATGGATTTCTAAAGATATATACAAAGGGCCAGCAGGTGGCATAGTGGTTAAAGTGAGGGATCACACATGGCCAATTGTGACTCAAGTCTCATACAGTCAGCTTGAAAAGTACACCAGGCATGTAGGTGTATGTGCCCTAAATCCTGAGAACAGAATGGAGGAAAAGGGATTTCAGCATAGCCATCCTTCCCTCGGGAAATGGACACGCACGCACATGTGCCCAGAGTGATTTTCACGCCACCGGGTTCAGGACTGTAACTG